AACACTGGGGATCCTGCATGCCAAGCTCTATTAAATTTCTGCTCCACTTTTAACTTGGCCCAACTAATAACTCAACCTACGAGAATAACAGAGTCCTCAGCGACTTTGTTAGATGTTATACTCGTTTCGAACAAAGAGCTTATAATTGAATCTAATGTGGTACCAATTTCAATAAGCGATCATGACTTAGTATATGCCACCCTGAAGTTAAAGAAAGAACGTCAAAAGCCTGTTTATGTTAATACCAGAAGCTTTCGACAATATAATCCCAATTCGTTTTCTCAAGATATGTCGTACGCACCTTGGTCGGTTATAAATGTTTTTGATGATATAGACGACAAGCTTAATGCATTTAACCTGATATTGAATAATATCTTGGACTTGCACGCTCCTATCAAAAGAGTTAAAGTAAGAGGTCGACAAAACCCGTTTATAACTGAAAAAATTCGCTGTCTCATGAAAACTAGAGACCACTGGAGGAAATTGGCTAGACAAACAAATGACACCTTAGCTTGGGCGGCTTATAGAAATTTTAAGAAGGAAGTGAGGCGAGAAATTAGATTAGCCGAACAAGAGCATGTCATGGAACAAATAATGAGTAATCCCAACAACAAAAGAAGTATTTGGAAAACAATACGATCTTGTATCCCAAAACAAACCACGCGACAGAAGTCCTATAATAGAGATGAAAAGATCATTGCAAATGAGTTTAACACTTATTTTACGACTCTTGGCCAAATAACTTTTGAACAAATAAATTCCTTGGCCGCTCAATCTAATTATGACTTAACACAACCAGCAGTCCCCACTCAAGAATACCCAGATGATGAACAATTTTTCTTTAAGCCGATGAGCAGCGGAGAAATCGAGAATGTTATTCGCTCAATGCCAATGAATAAGGCACCTGGCCATGATAAAATACCTATACGCGTGATTAAAGATAGCCTCCCTGCAATCCTTTTACCTATCACCTCAATCGTCAATGCGTCTTTATGTTCTACATGCCAGTTTCCAAGTACTTGGAAGAAGGCTGAGGTTTTGCCCGTCTTAAAGGAAGGCGATCACGAAGAAGCAGAGAACAACCGTCCCATCTCACTTCTACCTGTATTATCAAAGATATGTGAACGATCAGCATTGAATCAGTTGATGCCTTATTTAGTTTTAAATGGGAAACTTTCTACGAAGCAAAGCGGAAACAAAAAAGACCATTCTACCGAAACATCTCTGATAAAAGTTACTGATGAAATTCTAACAGCAATTGACAGTAAGAAATTAACTGCAGTTGTATTGTTAGACTTTAGCAAGGCTTTTGACAGCATAAATCACCAAACATTATTAAATAAATTGCGGGACATTGGTATATCACCTTCTGGATTGTCATGGTTCCGTAGCTACCTGTCAAATCGATATCAAGTGGTATACATAAATTCAACCTTATCAGATCCTCTGCTAGTTACAAGCGGAGTCCCACAGGGCAGTATCCTTGGCCTAATCTTGTTTAATATTTATGTCAATGATCTACCACTTGTTCCGAGGTCCTGCACACCCGACTGCTATGTACACGACAGTAAACTCTATATCTCATTTCCAATACACGATAGTACCAAGGCTATGATTGAAATTAATGACGATCTAGTTCGAATGCGTAACTGGTGTTTTGAAAATTGTCTACTCTTGAATCCAAAGAAGATAAAATTAATGGTCTATGGCAGCCGACAAATGCTATCCAAACTATCTGATTTTCGTGTAACATTGTTAGGAAAAGATATCCAACCTCCACTGCATGTAAAGGACCTGGGTGTAACGTTTGATCAGACCCTTAGTTTTAATGAGCATACTATAAAAAATGTGTCTTCGTGCATGTCGATTTTAGGTCAGATAAATCGCGTGAAGCATGCATTTGATAGGAAAACACTTATTACAATAATTAACACTTTAGTTTTTAGTAAAATGTTTTACTGTTCGTCTGTATGGTCTAATACTGCAGAGAAAAATCTAAATAAGCTACAGACTGCACAGAATTTCGCGGCACGCATTGTGACGGGAACTCGTAAATACGATCACATTACTCCCGTATTGAAAGACCTTAAGTGGCTACCCGTTAAATTACAACTTTATTATCGAGATGCGATCCTGGCGTACAAATGTATGAATGGCCATGCTCCATCTTATTTGTCTAGTCAGTTTATTAAACGATGTGACGTGAGTAAGCGGACTACCAGAAGCTCACAGTTGCTGAATATTCCACTGTATAAGACCGCTAGTGGCCAAAGATCCTTTTATTACCGTACAGTAAGTTTATGGAACTCACTAGAAACTTCTTTAAAATTAAGTGGCTCTGTACATATTTTTAAGCAAAAAATGAAAACTCAATTACTAAATCAGTTTATACTATCTCAGGACTAGTATTTCGTCTTGTACATAATTAGTTTATTACTTATTGTAAATGATCACTGAAAAGCCTCCTTGGGGAGTGTTCATTAAATTATTGTATTGTATTGTATTGTATCTGACTACCGCTTTCTTTGAAATAGTTTTGGCTGCTTGGCACGTTTGCTTGACTGAATAAGCCCTCACATAAAATACAATATCTTCATCATAACAGGGCAATATCTTTAACTCAAACTCAGCAGAATCTTCAACTCTAATTCCACCGCCTGCAACATACATCTTTATCTTTTTTGATTCTCCAACCAAACCGAGTTAGTCCGCAAATTCTTTCCGCATGAGACTCTTATTAGAACCACTATCAACCATGGCAAGTCCCTCAATAAAGTTCCCATCGGCACTGTACACTTTGAACTTTTGAGTTGGTACATTTGCAGTTCCTGCTTTACCAGCTGAAATAGCACCAACCTGATTGGACTTGAAACCCGTGCCTGCAGCTTCCTCCTGATCTGGTTTGAATGGTTGTGCATCAGGGTTCAGCTTGCCATTGTCCACTTGTTTTGGATCTTTATGCAATAGGTAATGATGTGGTCTTCCACAACTGTTCATATCACATGCTTTTCGCGAACACTGTTGGTATCGGTGTCCAGTTCGGCAGTTCGGAGACATTTTTTACATCTCTTGGACTGAATCACCACTTCCCACTTTTCTTTCACTCTCATCTTCTTAAATGCTGGACAATAACCTAAACCATGTTGTTGGGAACAACCCAAAGCACAATTGTAACCACCATTTTAACCACCGTCCACATTAACTGGATAAATCCCAATTTTTTAAGAGGGTTGATCCGATTGACTACTTGCCATTATTTTTGCCTCTTCTTCTAGGTATTCCAACAAGGTATGCAGGCTTTCAATCTGCTTTGTATCAATCATACTCCGTGCGTAAGCTCTTTGATCTTCTACCGTCATTTTCGCCAGAATATCAGCAAACACACATCTAATTTTGGCTTCGTCAGATGCTCCAACAACCTCCATTCTGAGAATAAACCCACGAACTGTTGCGACCAAATTCCGAATCGACTTTGCATCTTTGACCTTCAAAGTTTTCATTGTTTTGCTATCATTCATCAAAATTTTAATCAACTCTTTGTCGTCTCCAAATGTTGACTTCCTTCAGTTTCATAATTTCTCTTCATAGTGTGCTCGAAAATTTTTTCCATGTTCGATAAGTTTTAATGTTTGCAGAAAATTATGGTACCTTGATTCTCTCCAGATTAGACCCCTTTTGTTTGGGTTCCATTTTAGTCGGTAGTCCCTTTGATGTTTGATCTACTTCACATTTTCGTCGATATTCTTCTAACTTTGAGAGTAAATCGCCATATGCAATGAGTTCCGTAACAAAAATATCATGGTTTGTAAAATCGGCTTTCTCAATGTCAGCTTCAACCATTAAATCGGTAATTCCATCATGTATTTCTCTTACAGCTTTATATTTCACCTTGACTTCGCCAAAAGCCTCTTCAAGACTATGTATTTCTGGGCGAGCTTTTAGCACAAATTTGAAGCTTTTTACCTCGTCGTCGAACTTTTTCTTCGCCGAACTTCTCTTCCGATTTAACTCTTCAGTTTTAACCATCGTTGATGCGATCTTTAACACTCGATGTCTTTGTTTTCTAGCGTGTCACTACTCAAACGTGTTCGGAATTGTTATTGATCTGGCATATTTCGCCCAAAATAACTTCCCATTTCGCTCTATTAATCAAACTATTTTGACTGTTGTGAACTCTTCGCAACACAAAGACAAGGACAATGTTCTAAGCTTTATTTCGTACAAGTTTTAATACATTTTTATCGTATTATTTGGCTGTCAAAATAGTTGTTGTTCTCTTTTGTCTTCACCTTTCGATCGTATGATTAAAACAAACAACACGTGACCAATATTAACCTAATTAAATGTTAAATAATTAGCATGCATTTTGCAGTTCTATTAAAGTGTCAAAACACCCTCTAACATTAATACTGGCAGATTTGATTTCCTGTCTCAACTGCTTAACAGTCATTTGTTATATTTATTTTCACTTGAGTTGCTTCCCTATTCAACAAATGCACTGTGATTAATTTGTATTTCGCGTAAACATGCTTTTGTCCGTTTCTATCTTGTTTCAATGACGTCATTCTCCCAGTAGGCTGCATTTCTTTTATGGTATTGCCTCTTTTCTCTCTCGCAGTGGCTTAATAACTGCTGCCTGTTTTCCACAAACAAAACATCCCGAGCCCCATCCCATCTATTTGATTTTTGGAAATATATTGTCTTGGCATCGTCATTGTTTTTTTCAACGCCTTGACCTGTGAAATGTCTAAATTTTTTGTGATTCTTAATAAAAATAGGTACATGATACACTAGTGCTTGCATGTATGGGGTTACTCTTTTCCTTTCATACCCTATTCGAAGACCGCCAACTGAGCAAAACAAAGATATAAAATATTTTGCCTTCCGGAAAATGTCAAGGTAAAAGTCATCAGCATTTCAATCAGTGTTGATTAAATTGTAAAGTGAATAAAAGTCTTTCCAGATCTTGATGACTGTTTCTCTTGATTCAGGAAATAGAATATCTAGTGTTTCCAGTTTTTCTGATCCAACAAGGCTTCTCCAGTTGTATGTTCCGCTAGCTTTCCCGTCAGCATTTTTTTTTCTCCCAAATAGAAAATGTTATTCCCAGTTCATTGATCAGAATCCAATGAATCCACTTCATTGAATGTTTTCGCCCTTCTCCTCGCCTTGACATTTGTTGAAATATTCCTTACAGTCCTTCTCCATTACTTCTGTGATTAAATTCTCAGTCATTCTGTCCGTTATTCTCAGCATTAAATGTAATTCATCCAGAATGATGTGATCAAGCGGAATATTAAATAATGGTCTCTTGACACATGAAAATGTCTTGGAAAAGGAACTTAATTCTTTAATTTCTTGGAGTGTTCTCTTCGTTGTAATATGACAGATCTTTGGACATGTCCCATCTGAAAAGCTCATGCACTTTGCACCATGGGCATGCATGATCCGAGGTAGCGCCTGACATTCCCATGCCCATCAGCAGAAATTTGTAGTCTCCACCAAGAAACAGTTCAACAGCTACTTCTGTGTCATTGACTTTGATCTTCCCATTTGGATTCACAGAATTTATGTCATTAATAAGTTCTGAAAATGATGTCTCAATTGTTTCATATTTTTCGGGACCATTGACTACCCCAATTGTCCTGTTTCCCTTTGATGACATTACAAAATACTCTGTTGGAAGTAGCGAGAATGACAATATCATGAAATTTGCTGATCTTGACATCTTTGCGCCAACACAGCTGATCTTGACCTTTATTGGCTCATCAAATTTGTGTTTCGAATTTTACTCGAAAAATTGATGGATGTGATCTTGTAGAGTTTGGCAAAATGAGAGTTGTGCACCAGGATATTGACTTGGTATTCTTTCAATATGGCAGAGTTTCTTCAGTTCGTTCTTCTTTTGTTTAATCAAGTAACTTCTTGGTAAATTGTCAGAAAATAGAGACAATTCATGGTAGAGTTAATCACTTGCACAGAATTTGTCTAGTAATAGAAGAAGACCTTCTAAATCCTTCTGGTCAGTATCATTTGCTGGTAATTTTTCAAATTCCATGGTATGAACTTTATTAGTGGCTGTCTCTTCGACCTGGAGAAGAGACAGTTTGAGTACATGTGACTCAAGAAACGATAGAGCAATTTCTGATCTTTCTTTAAGCTGCTTAAGTCTTCTTGATGTTTGACTTTTTTTTAATTGATCGATAGTTCTCCCATGGCAAACACAATCATTTTCTTTGTCCAAACGTTTTATATATTCAGATAGTGCTTTATTTTTTCTTCCATTCTTGTGAACTCTAGATCTTCATCTACGGCTTTGTCTGCCTCTTCCATTTCATTTTCTTTTGCTTTAATGCTTCTATCATTTCCCTTGCCAAGTTTTCTTTCTCACTCTCCAGATTCTTGTACTTCGATTTCCTTTTAGCCACTTCTTGTTCTGCAGCAGACAGATTTTTTTTTCTATTTCATGAGGTAACACAAGTTCACTTTTAAAAATGCTTAAGTTTAGCCCTTTTGTTTCTGCCTCTTTTCTCTTACTTCCACTAACTTTCTTCCCAGTGTACTTTTTACGATTGCACTAACTTCGCGTCTAAATCTCTCATGGATTCTTAATCCGTTCTTCCAGGAATCCAAAACTTGAGAATGTCGATGTGGTCTAACCTCTTTTCTTTGTCGTCTTTCATTTCAACAAGGGTATGCGCATGCCATTTCAGTAAATTTGGATACGGGATGTATATTGCCAGAGCTATTTGAGAAGCTGCAACGCACTGCTGTCTGACATAACAGAGAGGGGATTCTGTCACTTTCAGTTGAAATTCCAGGGATTTCTTTTCGAAATCCAGCAAAATATCAGACATTTTCTTCGAGAAATACAAGCTATTAAGGTAATTCCGCAGTTTCGCACTGCCCACTTTTACTGCGCACATCTTATAACTTATAATTTCATCCCTTATACGTACATTTAAAAAAAATCATTTTATGACAATTTTATGTTACTTCTAAACATCTTTGGTTACTTTTTTTTTCTGTGTTGGTGTAGTGTACTCAGGTGAATATGATATTTGTGGTGTTACTCTGAGTGTATATCCGCTTCGGGCGAGCTTGAAAAATATGCCCGGCCACGGTGGGATTCGAACCTACGACCTTTGGAATACTAGCCCAAGGCTCTTCCAACTGAGCTACCCGGTCAGGACAGTTCTGTTCCGAATAGATTCTAGTCTAGATTCCGTCTAGATTCTGTTCCGACATATCACTTACTCGAACCGTCCTGACCGCGTAGCTCAGTTGGAAGAGCATTGGGCTAGTATTCCAAAGGTCGTAGGTTCGAATCCCACCGTGGCCGGACATATTTTTCAAGCTCGCCCAGTGTGGATATACACTCAGAGTAACACCACAAATATCAAATTCACCTGAGTACACTACACCAACACAGAAAAAAAATCATATTACTAGAATACATTGGTATCGAAGGAACTAGATTCTGTTCCGAAATATCACTTACTCAAACCGCCCTGACCGCGTAGCTCAGTTGGAAAAGCATTGGGCTAGTATTCCAAAGGTCGTAGGTTCGAATCCCACCGTGTCCGGGCATATTTTTCAAGCTCGCCCGGTGTGGATATACACTCAGAGTAACACCACAAATATCTTTGGTTACATTTGTGCAAAGAATTTCGTTAAAATCAATGTTTTCAAAAAAGGCATACAAAAGTGTAGCTAGGGTTCCTGTGTCTGTAGTATATTTATTTACTTGTAATTCGCGTTTTAATGTCGCAATTCCCTAAAAAGATCGGTGACCCCCGTTTTTTAACTGATAATTTATTTCTTTAATGCATTTTACATTTCATATCCGAAATTAAAAGAAAAATTATTTCTGGATCTTGAAAAAAAATTCTTTATCAATGCATGTTCTCAAATAAAGATATGTAAAGAAATGTGGAAAAGACATTTGTGGATCAGAATTTGTACACATTAGTAGTTTCATTTTGGTCAAAACACAATATTTTTTTAAAAATAATTACAAGATAGGTTTACTAAAGCAAAATCCGCGCTAAAAACGTCAATAAATATCGAGCTGTTGTAATTTCGCTGTTACTCGTAATGAGCGTGAAGACGGCGCCATATTGGGGTAAAGGTAGTATATTGTAATTGTCATATCTTCTTAACGAGTTCGGTGACCCCGACTTTTTTGTGTGATTTTACTTTAAGTAATAATAATAATAATAATATATAAAGATTTATACAGCGCTTAAATTATATAAAATATTCCAAAGCGCTTTACAACAATGAAGTTATACTATATACAAGTAGCTAAAATATTAAGAATTAAGGTATAGGTGTCTATAAATCTAAAAGTTAGAATCGAAAGCTTTCTTAAAAAGGAAAGTCTTTAATTGAGATTTAAAACAGTCAATTGTTTTACTATTTCTAATACCAGAAGGTAGCCTGTTCCAAATTGACGGAGCTGCATGCACAAATGCTCGATCACCAAGAGTCTTGGCTCTAGTTTTTGGGATAAAAAGTAGTCCCTGATCATCAGATCTCAGTTGATAACAACAGTTCGGTTTTTGTAACAACAGCTCCATAATGTAGCCTGGCGCCATCCCGTGGAGAGCTTTATATACCAAAAGTGCAATTTTAAAATCAACGCGAAACTTGACAGGCAGCCAGTGAAGGTGCATCAGGACAGGGGTAATATGAGCACATCTTGGTATAAGACACGTCACTCTAGCAGCGGCATTGAGAACTCGTTGAAGACGCTGAAGTTGGTATTGGGGAATGCCGAACAAGAGAGAATTGCAGTAGTCCAAGTGTGACGTCACAAAGGCATGTACGAGCGTTTTAGTTGATTCGATGGAAAGAAACTTCCTTATTTGTCGGATGTTGTACAAGCCCCTAAATGCTTTGCTGCAAACCTAATAGTTTATAAAGTTTATATCATAAACTGCATGCCTGGGAAGTTTCAGAACATTCTCATTTCGGTAACAATTACTGCGGAATTACCTTAATTTGAATATTTTCGCGCTATTTGGCTCGTAAAGAAATATGCAAACTTTGTAATCAGCGGAAATAGCGAGTTAAAAGGCTTGGCTGCTAAGCTAAAGTAAATATGACTGCTTTAAGCTTCTTGTTGGAAAGCAAATCGTGATTAATGGTCGTTTTTCCGCGTTGAACGGGACCAGTAGTAATATAGTGGCCGATCGGGCCGGATTTTTGTGGTGGAGTGTGGTGGAGTGTAGTGGGGTGTCGTGGAGGTGGTGGAGGTGGTGGAGTGTGGTGAAGGGAGGGTGCGTAATGACGTCACTCATCATTAACATACGTCATAATTATATTCAATGACGTCACTCATTAACATACGTCATAATTATATGCAATGACGTCACGCGGTGGAGTTTGAGGTGGTGGAGTTTGAAGTGTTGGGTGTCCACCACCTCATTTATAATTAGTATTCAAACAAATGAGGGTGCGTAATGACGTCACTCATTAGCATACGTCATAATTATATGCTTTATCAATGCACGTAGTTTTGAGGCCGATCATAAAATTGCTTATCAACGATTCTTGGAGAAAATGAATGATTCTTGGAGATATGAATAAAAACCCCAAAATATATAATGTTTATGTTGAACAAAATGTAAAGACAATAGGGCCATTTATACGTACAAAATAAGTCGTGACTTACATATTAATAAGCGACTTAGGCTAAATAAGGCGTGAGTTTGTCGTATAAAAGGTACCAAATTCTTATGTAAGTAAGAACAGGAGTTTTAGCTGTTCTTATTTAAGTCGCGTCTTAAATCAGACATTTTGGATAATAGGCCTAACTACACATGCCCGGCGAAACTTGAAACAACTAAAATATTACTATTAGGCTTCCATATTAAAACAAAAAAAAACCAAACAACATTATAGCTATAGCAAGTAAATGAGACTAGAGCCGCATAGAGAACCATTTATACGATAACTCCGCTTATACAAGACGCGTCTTATGTAAGTCGCGATTTATTTTGTCCCGTATAAATGGCCCCAATTAATGTATACAACAGCATGGAGCCGACCGGCGTTTTGATAGCACGATTGACAAGGCACGAGGAGAGGAATAACATTAAATATTAATATGTTTTTATGCGGATGACAGCATCTCTTAATTTATAGCACTTGCTACGAATATGGCGGACTGGACAAATGGAGTTACGCTAAAACTAATAATAATGAGACCTTTGGTATTTATTCTGTTTAAGGGGCTTGAGTTTGTTGTTGCAATTCCCCCTTTAGGCCATTACAAATTTATGATAGCCCCGGAATTATATATAAATTACAATTCGGGGTAAGGTAAGGTAAGGTAAGGGTGAATATACGCCAGTAAATTAAACGAAATGGAGATAGACCATGGTCGCGCGAAATTAGAATTGAAGGAAACATAATCCACTGGAAAAAGTATTCTCATGTGGCATGGCAAAATATAATTTCGGGGTGAAATTCAGTTTCCTATGACATCAAATACTAATATTAATAGTTGATTGAGAAACGAATTATTTAGAAATCATGCACATATAGCCTACAATCGATTCCCCACAATAACTATATACATAAAGAAAGCTGATGTGTTGATCTTTGTTTAGCGATTTTTCGCGCATTTTATGCCACAATACCAAGGGGAGAAAGCATTTATAACTGTGAGTCTAAAGTTCTGTTCCGTCCAAAGAAGCCCGTATACGTAATTAATTGTGTCCCAAAATATCGAATATAGGTGGCGGAATTGCGCGAATTTGGTAGGTCCAAAATTAAGACCGCACGAATTTAATCTATTGTCCTTGACGAGTAAAATCGCCTGCAGCAACATTGGTTTATATTAGCTAAATAATGAAGTACTGTGTAAGGTGTATCAAGGCCGCAATGCAATTTATTTGATCGGTCATAAATACAAATTAAGGTATTTAGCTTCGACTAACAATGTATGATTGTCTCTAATATCTATGTATCGATCGATACTGTAATAAAACAAATATGCCATAATTAAGAAAGCATACTTATTTTAGTAAGCTTAATTTCTTGTACGGCACGGATAAAATTGGTACCCGTACCAATTTTTTGGTTCTTGGACTACCTATTTAGGTAGTCCAAGAACCAAAAAGTGGTACGGTACCAAAAATTGAGCATAGTGTAAACGGGGCTTAGCTAAATAGGTAGTCCAAGAACCAAAAAAGTGGTACGGTACCAATTTTATCTGTACCGTACCAAAAATTGAGCGTAGTGTAAACTGGGCTTAAGTGTGATAACAATTTGGCTCCCAGAGCTATATATAAATCGTCGATTTTCTTCTCATCCTATGCTTCCTATAAATCGATGGTATAGAGTTGCAAAATTGTATAAGGTTCGGTCACACGGAGCGACAAGTCGCAGGAGCATGTTGCAGGGACATGTCGCGGGGTCGAATTTCATCGTGTGTCACATATGTAAGCGTTGTCGCGGGGACAAAAAATTGTCCCCGCGACATGTCGCATGAAATCAAATTGATTTGATTTCACGCGACGTGTCGCGGGGAAAAAAACCGTTGCCGCGACTTGTTGCATCGTGTGAGCTAGTCTGTTCACAAGTCGCGGGGAAATAATTAGTCCGACCAATCACATAATATCATTCCCATGACTACTTGCACGCTCAATTTCAATGTAAGTCATCATGGGAGTTCTTTGACTTGTCACATGAATTGTCGCCTCGTGTGACCACGCGCCTATAAGCGCTTGTGCGACTTGTTTTCGCATAGCATTGTCGCTTCGTGTGACTCGTTTCGGGCGACATGTCCCTGCAACATGCCCCTGCGACTTGTCGCTCCGTGTGACCGAACCTTAAACAATGGTGAGGATATAGTCTTATGAGAA